CTAAGGTCTCCAAAATAGGTTGTGAGTAGCTTGTCACCATTCTGTAGTACAATTCCTATGAGGTGGTATACCCAGTTGGCTATTTGGGGGGCATCCTTATCTTGTGGAACTCGGGATTCCATACCATTTCAGTTGTCAACAAGGAACCCCGCGCTATTCACACCGTAGTGCAGGTAAACTCCATCATAAAATTCTATCTTTCTGCATTCTATGCTCCTACTACTCATAATGATAGATTAGAATTGTGGTATACACTTGAAAATTTTAGTAATACAATTGATATGCCTTGGCTGGTGTGTGGAGACTTCAATGAAATTTGTTTTGACCATGAGAAATGGGGAGGGAACAAGCAACCCTTGCACCAAATGAGGGCCTTTAATGAGACTATAGAAAATTGCATTGTAATTTAATTGACCTGGGTTTTGTGGGGCATAAATATACCTGGTTTAACAAGCAGAAAAAAAAACAATTCTAGAAAGGCTTGATAGATTCTTTGCATCTTCTGATTGGATTCAGCTATTCCCTCATAACCATGTCTCAAACCTCCCTAGAATGTCTTCTGACCATAAACCCCTTCTGCTAAATTGTGAAAAAAAAATTTCCTTCCCTGGCACACCTCCTTTCAGGTTTGAACCTATGTGGATCTCTGACTTAGAGTTCTTACCTTTTGTAAAACAAAAATGGGCCTCTTACTATACCAACTTCTTCAATAAATTAGATTTCCTAACACAAGACCTTAAATCTTGGGTAGGTAATTTATTCAATAACCAAAAGAAAAACAAAAACAGATTGAATCCCAACTAAACACAATTCTTGACCAGGAAGAGATTTTTTGGGCAACCAGAGCCAGGTCTGATTGGCTTCTGCAAGGAGACATAAACACTTCTTTCTTCCACTCCTTAGCCATCATTAGAGGAAAAAGAAACAAGATTCTAGATATTAAGAACAGTGTAGGAGAATGGCTTCATGATCCTCAGTTGATTCACTCTCACATCCTTCAACACTTCAAACAGTTATTCACTTCAGAAATCACCCCTTCTTTGATCCTTTCCTATTCTTTTGAGGATATTGATTGTGCTACTATCCCATCTATGCTAGAAATCAAAGAATCTCTCTTTTCTATTGGCCCCAATAAGTCACCTGGCACTGATGGCTTTCATGCAGCTTTATTCCAAGTAGCTTGTGAATGCATTCACTAAGACTGCTTCAACCTTGTGCACCAGATTTTTTCCAAGCAAAAAAATCCCACCCAAGCTAAATAGGACTGTTATATGTCTAATCCCCAAAGTCACCTCTCCTTCCCTTGTCACCAGTTTTAGGCCTATTAGCCTAGTTAACACCTCTTACAAAAACATTTCAAAGATTCTAGTGGACAGAATAAGACCTCACCTCCACTCTATCATCATCTCACCAAACCAGAATAGCTTTCTAAAAGGTCGAGGGACTGAGGTGAACTATATAATAGCCTCTGAGATCCTTCACTCCATTTCAAAGAAAAAAGGATCCAGAGGTCTTTTTGCTCTAAAGCTTGACCTTGAAAAAGCCTATGATAGGCTAGAATGGTCATTCATCCATCATTACCTTAACTTCTTCAATTTCGACCAAAACACAATATCCATCATCATGTCATGTATCTCTTCTGTCTCCTCCCAAGTTCTCATTAATGGGAAACTATTTGAGGAATTCACTCCCTCAAGAGGAATAAGGCAGGGGGACCCATTATCCCCTTACATTTTCATCATATGCCTTGAGTTTCTCTCCAGGAAAATCCATGACCAATGCAGCGATAAGGATTGGAAACCTTTTAGATAAAGGGGAGGAACTACAGAGATCTCCTACTTGCTCTTTGCTGTTTGGTGTTGCTGATAAAAGAACCTTAAAGTTAATCCAAAAAATGACAAACTTCTGCTCCATGTCAGGCCATAAAATAAATGAGGATAAGAGTCAAATTTATTTCTTTAAAAACACCAGTATTTACATGATAGATGATTTTGAATAGACTTTAAATGTGAGAAGATCAAATGATTTGGGGATTTACTTCGGATACCCTCTCACAGAGAAGAAACCAAATAGAAGACACCTCTCCTCTATCATTGATAAACTAGGGAAGAAATTGTCTTCCTGGAAAGCTACGACGCTTTCTAAAGGTGGGAAATTGGTTTTACTGCAGTCCACCATGTTAGCCATTCCTAGATACTCTATGTCCTGCATAAACCTCCCAAAATTCATTCTCAACAAGCTAGATTCAGTCTGCTCAAATTTTCTACGGGGAGGTACTTCACATGCCAGAAAAATCTCTTGGATTTCATGGCAAAATATATGTCAAGACAAGAAAAAGGGAGGCCTAGGCTTCCTCACAAATGATGAAATCAACCTTGTGAGCTTTGCTAGGCTGTGTTGGATGGTGGATACAAAATCCAATTGGGCTAGGAAAATCTTTTTTGATAATTACATCAGGAACAAACCTGCCCCCACCCCCTTCAATAAAGGTTCCCACATCTGGAATGCTGTAGGAAGTGGATGGGAGCTCTTTAAACACAACCTGCTATGGGAGGTTGGGAATGGAGACTTAATAAGTTTCTAGGGGGATAAATGGCTTCAGTCAGATGACCCAAGAAACCTCTTAATAAGGCCTCTCTCTTTAACCTCTCAATATGCGAGCATCAACTCTCTTCCTATTCACTCCAAGCTGGACCTAGAAGACGCTATAAATTTCCAGCTTACTGATGAGTTGTTTTCTAGGATAGCCAGTACTACCTTTAAGCCAGGAATTGATTCCAACTACACTGGCTAGACTAAGAAGGGGAGATTGAACAACAACAAGTCAAGGGAATGGGTCATTCAACAAAGGAGTCTTCACTCAAAGGGGACTGGGCAGGATTCTTAGGAGTGGAGTTCCATTTGGAATTTAAACACCTACCCCAAGATTAAGGTTTTCCTCTGGCAATTGGTCTGGGATAGGCTACCCTCTACTTCAAATTTGCACTTTAGGAAAATAGCTGTTTCAAAAAACTGTACTTTCTGCCCCCATTCACCTGAAATCGCAGATCATATTTTCTTTGAATGCATTAGAGCAGCAGAGTTCTGGGGGCCTTGAAACACCACAATCTTTCCCTAAACTCAATCAAGAATCTTTCCAAACATGGATCTTCAAAAATCTAAAAAATAAACAACCTTCTCAACATCACCTACCTTGGAACATCATTTTTTGCTTCTCCTTATGGATGATTTGGAAAAGAAGAAACAGCTGGCTTTTCTCAAAAATAAACACCCCTATCAAAACATCCAAAACTCAGTGTCTATGGGCTGCTAGTGAATGGTTTTACTCTTCAAACCAGCATACTACAATAAAGCCCAAATCTCCACACTGGCCCCTCCTCCCCCTCTTTCACTAAAAATAAATGTTGATGTTGCGTACTCTTCTATTTCCATAGAAGCTGGATGTGCAGAGACCATATGGGAAGCTGGAAAGAAGCTTTTCAATGGAAGGGATATACTGCTTCAGCTGAAGAAGCAGAAATCCAGGCCATTTCCCTTGCTCTGACCTGGATACAAGAAAGGGGATGGCAGAACTGCCACATTGAATCTAATTGCAAGTTTGTTGTACAGGACTTAAATGACAACAAAGATTGTATATTAACCCCAAAATAAAATGATTGCAGGCTGCAGTTAAGGGAGCTAAATGAAGTCAAGCTCTACTATGGAGAAAGGGGCAAGAACAGCGTGGCTGACCTTTTAGCTAAAGATGCACGAGGAAATCTAAATGTTTTGAACCAGCATTGTAATATTTTAGTCCCTCCTTTATTTTGAATAAAAGCTCTTCAACTAGACTCTATCAACTTAAGTAGTGATGGCAACCATCAGTCTGTAATTTTGGGCTATCCTTTGGAAAGCCAACAACACTTATCTTAATTTAGTTTTCCCTTTTCTTCAAAAAAAAAAAAAGGAAAATGGGAGATGGAGGAGAATTATTACACTAATTTGAGGGTAATAGTTACCCACCACCACCACCGGTCCACCGTCCACTATAGGGTCTGGTTACCCTCATTGTGGGTAATAATTATTTTACTACCTTTCTCTTTTCTTATCACAAAAAAGTCATTATTTCTTTATCACTACCTTAGCTCACATTTTTTCTTCTTAGGGGATCACATTATTCCTTCTTAGGAGGTGTTTGGTATGAAAAAATACAAATATAATTATACATACACTCAATTTTCTATTCATGATGGTCTCCAAATATGGAGATGTTACGGTATGTGTAAAAATGAAAGAGATTGTATCATACAACTATAGTGATGTATAATAAAAGTTACCATATCGATAGTGACCTTTTATACAATAAACTCATGTACACCAAATGCACCTAAATTTTGAGATTTATTTTTGTTCAACTTAACTTGTCTTAATTTACCTCATTTATTCTTAATTTATCAAAAGTAAAAAAAAAAATCTTATATGAGAAGAAACTAGTCTAATATGCAAGCTATGTTACCTATAATTAAAAATAAAGATAATACGAGACTGTTATGCAATATTTTTCCCTCCAAATTGTTCGACCATGAAAAAACAGTCATATAAAACAGAGTAAAAGATCATCTTGTTTCGATTCTATTTGTGGTTACCATAAATCCTTGCTCAAAGATAGACATCATTGCTATTATTCTACAAGGATTATATGACACATTATAAACTAAACATGAACATATATCAATTACATAGATCCTTGCTCAGAGATAGAAATCAAATATATCATTGCTACAAGGATTATACAACACATATTTATAATCTACACATTGCGATTGCAATGAATCTAACAAAATCTCACATTACTATAAAATATTTAAACACACAACAATCCAATGAAAATTCAACATGAAGAAGATTGACTACTCTCACGATTAATTACCTTGCCAATCACTCTCTTTTAGGCTCTTACCAAGATCTGCTGATTCACGGTCTCTAGTTCGTTATTGTTTTTTTGCTCAACAATTTCTTGTAAATCGTCGAGGAGCTTGGATTTCATCATTTGTTTCTCCTTGAGACATTGAGAGTAGGTGTTTTTTTCCTTGTCCATAATGCATTTATAAGTATAAGTAACTGCTATCTTGGTTACATTTTCACTTGTTGACACCACCACTGAACTATCAGTGAAGATATTATTTTTTTTGAAGTACCTGGTGAAAAATTAAAATATAAAAAAGGCAAATTAATTATCATCACCTTCACCTAATTGCATTGTCTCAAATTAAAAAACAACTGGGGAAGAAAGGAGCTAAAATCTTACTCTTGAACAGATTCTTTGAGCTTTTTTCTTTTGATGATGTTCACTGAACCTATTTCAAGTTCAACATGGTCATTCCAGTCAAAATTAATCAGCTCAACTTTGTTCTGTAAATCATGGAGGAAGTTGGATTTCTGCTTTTGCTTCTCCTTAAGACATTGAGAGTAGGTGCTATTTTTCATGTCCTTGCTTTTATAATTCACGGCTATCTTGGTTACATTTTCACTTCTTGTCACCACCACTAAACTAACAATGAAGGATGTACTTTTTTCGAAGGACCTGGTGAAAAAACTAATTAATTATTATCACCTATCAACTCCAAACAGCTATCATCTGACCGTGAAGATTGGGGTTGTACTGGTGGTGTTCTTGGTGTTGATTGATCATTATCATCGTCGTGTGGCATACTTAAACGGGTTTCTTCTATTTCTAAAGACTTGTTGAATGAACGAGATGACATTGTTTAATTTTAATCAGCGAATTGTGTTTTGTTGATGCGGGATCACATTTCACAATGCAAAACAAACAAACAAACAAAACATATATATGCATGTTTAACTTACAACTAACAACTATTTGTACTGCTGTAAATACCACTTAGCTTCGTACTAGCACCATCATGGCGAATCTCATCTCAATTTAATTCAGTTCATTTTCGACCAACCAACAAGTAACAAGCAAGGACTAGTAGAATTAAAAATGTCCGTATTCTGAATTTTACTACTATAGTCTTAATTACTTCCACCTAGAAAATGAGACGACTTATCAGAAAGGGGACGACGACTTAGGTATGACCTTACAGTACATTTTTAGGTTTTTATTATGTCTGATGGGCTTATCAAAACTTTATTACAATGTAAAATATTGGTCCATTCCCACCTGGCCTGTACGAAATTTATTTTTGTAAAATTTATTTCTAAGGGAAAATATGTTGAATTTATATTTTATGTAAAGAAAAAGATAATAAAAGATAAAGTTTCTCAACAAATAAACACAAAGTGATAATATTACTTGATTGCATTAATACTAACAGTTCGTTTTTGATGCGGCGGCAGGGTGCCAAATCAGCAAATGACAAAGTAACCCCATCAACCTAGTAACCCCTGACCCACCTGGTAATCCCACCAACCTAGTAACCCCTGACCCACCTGTTAACCCCTGACCGGACCAAGTAACCCCTAACCGGACCTAGTAACCCCCAACCGAACCAAGTAATTCCTGCCCGGACCTAGTAACCCCGGACCAAGTAACCCTTGACCGGACCTAGTAACCCCTGACCGAATCAAGTAACCCCTGACCGGACCAAATAACCCCTGACGGGACCTAGTAACCCCCTGGTAACCCCTAACCAAGTAAGTAACCCCTACTCCTACACCACCTCAAAGCCTTAAACTCCACCACACCTTAATAAGTTGTACTCTGCTTCTCAATAAGTTCTTAAATCCTTTATATCAAAGTTCCAATTTTGTTTCAGAAATGCTTAACCATGATTAAAGCACTGAACTTTTGCTTCTTATTTTTCAACAAAAATGTACAAGAAAAACTCTCAATTTATTCATTACTTCTACAAATTCACACCAAATCCGATCCAAAAACCCACCCTAACCACCTTACCACCACGCCACCACCAACCACGCCCAGCTACCCACACCTAAAACCCACCCTAACCACCAGCAATCACGCTGCCAAACTTAATTATTAACAATGGCTTCAAATTTCACTTCAAGTAGGCTAAAAAGGCCAAATTCGACCATAAAAACACTAAATCTAGAGTTTTTATGGCTGAATTTGGCCATAAAAACTCTAAGTTGTTTTTCGGCGACGGAGTACGAGGAGCTTCACGACGACCACAAACTGGGTTGGAGCTTCGCGACGACCACGACGACGATCTGGTTGGAGCTTCAATAAAGGCAGTTCTTCAAGGAAGTGAAAATGGAGGAGAAGAGAGAGAAAGAGAAAAAAAAAACCGTGGCTTGTTGCGGCCAGTCGCATATAAAACTTTGTGTAATACTAAAGATTACACGACTTATATAGACTATCAAAATAACTAACAACAAGAATAATGGAAGCATTACTGACATAATGCATGTAAACATGACCCACTACGACACTATCTACCAAATTATCTCAACAAACAATAGACTAAATCAGACTTACCATTACACTTAAAATAGGAGATATGTTGACTAACACTATTTTGAAGCACTACAACCAACACACCTCCTTTTGCTTCAAAGCCACCAACACCAACGACCATATTGCGACAACGGACTTTGACTTGAACACGAGATGCTTTAACTCACGACTTTCAAGGCAGCACAACCACGACTTTCACGACCCAACTGCGACACACGACTTTAGAAGAGCATATTCTCTTCTTCTTTGACATTTTGAGAAAAATTAGTATGCTCTTTCTTTTGCTCATCCCTTTGCTTATCCCAACACTTATCTTCCTTGTGACCATACCTCTTGCAATAGTAACATTGGACACTACTTATGGATGAATTTTGACCTTCAAATTGATCACCACTACCATTTTCTTCACGACCACAACCACGACCACCTCGACCATAACCCCGACCATGAAAACTACCACCACGACCATGACTACCACAACCACGACTACTCTCATAATACTCTCCATTTGACATTTGTCCTTCGACTGCAAAGGCATTTTCATCTCCTTCATTCTTGTGAGACTTAGTAATTATATATCTTCATGAGCTAAAAGGGAACCCATCAATTCATAAAAACTATAATTAGACATGTCTTTAGACTCTTCAATTGCCGCAACAACATGATTGAAATTAGGGTTTAAACTCCTTAACTCCTTAATTAAACACAACAGTTTGTCACTAATATTTTCACCAAATGATCTCATTTGGTTAACAATATCTGATACTCTAGACAAATATTCTTGCACCGACTCTTTTATTTCATGAACACTAACTCAAAATTACGACGAAGGTTTTGTAATTTAACAGATATATATTACCTTACTATCACCCCTTTACTCAGTTTTTATGATATCCCATGCCTGCTTGGATGTCTTTGCAGATGAAATTCTAGGGAAAATATCATCATCTACTCCCGATTGAATAAAAAACAATGTCTTTGCATCCCTTTTGCGATTTTCACGCAGCTTTTGATTTGGCTCTACCGGCGACGCGTCGGTTCTACATACCCACACTCGACAATATCCCACAACTCTTAAGATTTGAACATTGTTTGCATTTTGATACTCCAAATATGATATTTTTCACCTTTGAAAACTTGAATTAAGGATTGTGTATTTGCATTTGAACCATTGGTTGTCATACTTACTCACAAAAATTACCCACAAAAAAATACTACGACAATCAAGCACTAAATGAAAAAATAAAACCTTTTGGTTTCACTCAAAAATAATCTCATGACACTCATGACATTCAAATTTGGTTCAGGATCGGAACCTTGATTAGCTCTGATACCATGTTGAATTTATATTTTATGTAAAGAAAAAGATAATAAAAGATAAAGTTTCTCAACAATAAACTGATAACACTACTTGATTGCATTAATACCAAAGATTACACGACTTATATAGACTAGCAAAATAACTAACAACTAGAATAATGGAAGCATAGTGACATAGTGCATGTAAACATGACCCACTACGGTACTACCTACCAAATTATCTCAACAAACAATAGATTAAGGCCTTGTTCTCTTCACCTTAAAAAAAATATTAAGTAAAAATAAATTCAGTTCAGTAAAAATAATTTCAGTTCAGTAAAAATAAGTTCAGTTCGGCAAAATTCAGTTTTATTAAAGAATAATTATAATAGAAAATCAGTAAAATTAATTTCAGTTCAGCAAAAATAATTTCAATTCAGTAAAATTAATTTAAGTTCAGTAAAAATAATTTAAGTTCAACAAAAATAATTTCAGTTCAGTAAAAATAATTTCTGTTCGGCAAAATTAAGGTGAAGCGAACAAGGCCTAAGTTAGACTAACCATAACACTTAAAAATAGGATATTTTGAAGCACTACAACCAACAAAATATAGTCGTGCTTGATCTAGATTGTTAGATTCGCTCTAGTAAATACTTGGAAAATATCCAAATTTTGTGTTTTTACTTAAAAAAAAATATATGATATTAATGGTGCTCAAAGAATCTACTTTTTGTAAATCATTTTCAAACACATAGTCTATGAATATATAGTTTCCACTTAATAAAATTCTATAATTATCAAAGATAATATAATAGACATATTCATGGACAAAAAGAAAGTATAGCATATATAAAGGAGTAACATCTCCATGATACGCATCCAAAATCTTTTACTGTTTAATCAGCAAATAAATACATGGTTAATATTGATTGCTCAAGAAAAAATACATTGGCTAACTAATACTTGTACAAGATAAGGAATCGGTATAAACCTCAGTTAAAGCTGGATGTCGATATCTTTCAAAAAAAAAAAAAAAAACTGGATGTCGATATGCTTGTAAATAACAACGTATCAAGATTAATTATTTCAGGAATTCAATGATCCAATTAAATGAATTTTAAATTACTATGTCCTTTTCCCAAAAATATATATATATATATATATATATATATATATATATATATCTTCATTTGTTTTTTTAGATGCATCACTTTTTTTATAAATGTAAGTTCAATTTAAATGTGTTGCTTTCCTTTTTTGCTGGTAAATTTTCTCTATTTCTTTCCTACCAATGAGTCATCTTTTCTTTTCATTTTATATCTCTCTATTCTAGCTAAGGATTGCCTATATATGATCCATGAATCCAAAAGTGATGCATTTAAAAAAAATTAATGGAGTTTATAAATCACATCCGTTCATTAATTAACACGTAATTTTGGAGAAGTTCATATATATATATGTGGTCATAAAAAAAATGTCAGATATTATATTGTATAAAGTGGATTAATGCTATGTTCAATTGAACTAATTTTTAGTGTATTTTAGTTCAATTCACCTCATTATTCTACTTTAATTTATATCAACTCACCTCAGGTCAAAGACCTAAATAGATCAGTATATATGTCCAATTAGAAAGATGGTGTGAGTGAATCCTCTTTATATTGAATAGAAAAGAGAAGAGTTTGTGGTTTAAGAAATGAACAATTGGAGTAATAATAAAACTAGGCTATTTAGTGGGAAAAATGAAGAGAGCAAAACTATATAAAATATATAATGACTAGACCACCTTATCTTCAACAATAATATCGTGAATTTTAATAGTTTAATAAAATTATAAGAAATTGATAAGAAGAAGCTCTAATAAAAACTAAATATTGATTGGCACATTTAATTTTGACTTTATTTTACATTAATTGGACTCCACACTATGTTAGTTGAGACGATTAATACAAGAGGGGGGGTAAATTGTATAGATTTTCTAATGACTACTTTTTGCGGATAAATAAACAATGCAAATAGGAACTTAATAAAACACACAGATTTTACGAGGAAACCTTCCAGGACCCAACTGGAAGTAAAAACCTCGACCCTACCTTAGGGATTTCAAACACAAAACACTTCACTATAATAGGGCAAACACCAAGTTACAACCTATTAGACACGGACCTTTATTTCACAAGTTCCTCACTGGACTTGCTACTTGATAGGACCCTATCCTACCCAATCTAAGCACCACACTTAGATTCACTCGTACCACCAAAGTACTACACGTACTACCAAAGCACAAATACTC